TTTAATTTGTTATGTTTCCTTGGAGTTTCCAAGATTGAGTTTAAACCTCCATGAAGTGAAATAAGTTTGTGGCACTCATTCTCAGTTTTGTTTGCTATCTCCACAGAATCTCTACCTGCTTCAAGTATAATACAAAATCAGTTCTGTCTGTGGCTGGAAAGCCATCAATTGGATGGTTATTCAGAAAGTGTGGCTAATTATCTGTTTTAAGCAACAAAAGGATAGTTTGGGCCTTGAATTATCTAGAATTATTGCTTTCATGGTTGATTGTGGCATATCTTCTTTCTGTTCTTTCTTTCACCAGCAGGGATTTGTTCAGTACCAGCTCTATGCCATACACCACAACAGACACACCAGGTACAAAAAAGGAAAACATAGTCTCCACCTTGGATAGCAAAGAAGATGGACAAATAAACCAACAAACTAAACACTGAGAGATGTTTTCTCAAGAAAGAAGGTTTCCTGGAGGAAGTGGTACTTGAGTGGAAACTTGAAAGATGAGTTAGTGTTAGTCATGTACAGAAGAGGAGAAGGGAGTACTCAGTACCGAAGGAACAGCATGTGCAAAGCACACGGACATGAGATAGCAGTTTGGCATTGCTGAAAAACAAGATGGATACGGAAGAGAAGATCAGAGCTTCAGCAGAGACAACGTTGTAGAAAGCTCTGTGGACTAAATTTAGTTGTTTTAACTTTATCTTGAAGATCATGGAAAAATATTAAAGAAATTAAGAAAGGAAAGAACAAACAGATTTGTATTTTATTAACCAAATATCACTCTGTAACCAGGTATGGAAGATAATTGGAGGGCCCAAGATCAGAGGCAGGACACCTGTTACTGAGGTCATTTAGATGGGAAATGATGGAGGCCTAGATTTAGATTATGGCAGTGAAAATGGAGTGGCAGAATTGAGAAATACCAGTAGAATTAATAGAACTTAAAGGATGAAGTGGGTGCAATGGCTCACTCCTATAATCCCAGCTACTCAGAAAGCTGAGGCAGGAGGCTAGCTTGAGGCCAGGAGTTCAAGATTAGCCTGGGTAACATAGCAAGACTCCATCTCTTTAAAAAATCCATAAAGGATGGTTAGATACATAGAAAGGAGATTAATTCAATCTTTTAATTTATTTTTCACTTTTTTCCAAGTCTTTATAGCAGAAACGGGAACTTGAAATGTTCCCAACACATAGAAATAATAAATACTCAAGGTGATGGATACCCCAAATACCCTGACTTGATCATCACACATTCTATGCATGCAACAAAATATCACATGTACCCTATAAATATGTAAAATATTATGTAACAATAAAAATATAAGTAAATAAATAAAAGAATACATTACTACCCTTTTCCCATTCACCTCATAGTTTCCTAGTATGACATTTACGTAATTTTGCTTGAAAACCTATTTGTTATTGTTTACCAGCAGCGGCAGCGGCAGCATCTCCCTGCCCCCACCACAGTCAGTAAGTATTCATGGAGCATCTACAACTAAGCTATACTTTTTCCAGTCTTATAACAAATTTATATCTCACTGTTTTATTTCACATTTTTATTAGCATTCTTTACTTTAAGCCTGTATTTTTAATAATATTGTCATTTTTTAGTGTGTATTTTCTTCCACCCTTCTTGGGCCATCGTATTTCTGCTTCTTACTTAAGTTCTTAGGTTTTTTATGTGTACCTGCAACTTTACAGCTTATTATTTTCTCAAAGGAATGCTCCATAAGTATTTCTTATGTAATTCCAAGGCATTTAAAGAGATTTAGCATTTGAGTTACAAGTTAAATCAATAAACTGTTTGATTAAAACCATAATCAGCAATCACCAGCTTTCATTAAGACTTCAACTAAAGACTGTTATCATTTACTAGGGCTCTGGTGTCCTTATTTCTGAAAAGAGAATACTATTCTTTTCTCAAAGTAGTAGTAAAATGTATAAAAAATGTCCTCATATATGCAAATTATGTTCATTTTATTTTGCAGGCTATATATCTTCTATAATATCTTCATTTGCCCATAGGTGTAGAGTTAAAATTCAGCTCCTATGCCAAGGTAAGAAATAGCCAGCCAGATAGCTGGCTAAGAAACAAGTTATTTTATACATAAGCTTATATTTCTCTCATTTTTTTCCAATAGCAACCCTCCCATATTCAAAAAATATTTACAACTGTTTTCTTTAAGAAGTCTGAAAGAGACTTCCTTGTACTATTCAAATTTAAAGACTGACCAAAATAGCACATATCAAAAAGGAAAAGTAAATAGAGAATCAACTGCCAACTAAATGCACCCTTACCCATCGTGTGACACCACCCAGTTGTCTTAAGCATCACTCATATATATTGCAGTCTGGTCACTTAGGCTATCCATCAAGTTTTTATTGAGCAATTTCTATGTGCTTAGCACTGACTGTGCTAGGCTCTGTAGATACAAGAGATATATAAAGCACAGGTCCTGCCCACAAGGAGCTTACAATGTGGTTGAGTATTTTTTTAAAAACTACAAAAGCTCTCAAAAATATATATTGCACAAATTATTTTTGTATACAAAAAGCATTTCAGCTAATGAAAATAATGAGAAATAAAGAAACACTTTTATCCATAGGATGAGCCTAGAGATATTTTGAATTAACAAAATATTCAGTAAAATCCTGGATTACCAAAAAATATGAGTACAAATATTTTTAAGACAGAAATTAAATATTTAAGTAGTCATAGTAACTAAAAATATAACAGGATATATTTTATACATATCTTTAAGATACCTATATAATGACAATTATCTGAATGAGTTAGGATGTTGAAAAAAATGAGGATGTTGAAAAAAAATTTTATCCCTTAGATAGTTTATATCATTTCCTCAAAACCTTTATTTGATTATTTATTTAATTTTTAAAAGTTTTTCTTATAGGTAGTAAAAAGGCATGCCAATTCAACTGTCTGAATTTTCATATATTTTGTGGACCACTGTAAATAACTGTAGGACACACACACACACACACACACATGTACATGTGAAAGATAATGACTCTACTTTTCTCCTCCCTCGTTGTAAGAATTTGGATGGAATTCTGATGAAAACTGAATCTTCTAAACCTAATATTCCCTGTTCTCTTTGGCTCTAACATCTTGGCATGGCTTGACATGCCTCTTCACATTACCCTGGCCCAATCTCTCTCGGGAACAGCACAGCTGGGTTTTTTGTTTGTTTATTTGTTTTTTTTCTTTCATACTGGGTTGCTCTAGGGTTGGATGGAAGCACTGGTGCTGCAACTGGATGGGTGTTAGAGTAGGCAGGAGTTCATTTCTTCCAATGCAAAAGTCATAGGTCTAAAATTACATATAATATATTATATATATATGAAATAATAAAAAAATATATATAGAGAGAGAGTCAAGAACCATGTCTGCACAGCCCACTTATAAAACATGTTAATGTTACATATTTCTTTGCATATATATCTCATAGGGCTTTACAGTAGTTACCATAATTACAATTAAACTGTGGATCAGGCACCATTTGTCCTCCTGTAACATTTTTTGGCAGAGTTCCTAAGGAACTTATTTTATTTGAGGTTTAGTTTTGTCCTCATTATAATCTCATTGCATAATAATGAGAATCTGTGTTTATTGAAGATAATAACAAAAATAAAGACAAAAGTATTTGTTAAAAATCACTAAGTGTGTTGCTGAATCATGATCCACAATATTTGAGCACATACATATATAACAGAATTTATTATTTTAAGTGAAGTTAGTACGCAATGGATACATTTCTGTGGATTCTAAACAGAAGTATCCTCTGTATCTTCCACTCAGTTTTGCTGTGAATCTAAAACTGCTTTAAAAACTAAAGTCTGTTTTTAAAAACAGTATCATAGGTATTTTATACTGACATATACTTTCCCTCCATCAGAATTCAAGCTAATTGGACAAAGATCATTCCTTATTTTATGAAAAATATCTTGGCCAAATAGTGATTATTTTTAAAATTCTTTCAATTATTTTATTAATTATTACTTTTACAAGAAGAGCTTTCATAAACATTATTATATAAAACTGCATGTGATTATTCTGCCTGGATATAGACATTTTTAAATCAGGGGAGCTTAACATGAAATTTTCCATCTTGAACAACAACATGGAAATAATTTCTGTCACATTCATTTAAATTTTCACCTGATAATCTTGTATATAAATGTTACCTTTGCTGATAATTTACTAAATAAATAGCATCTTTCTAGGTGTCAAACACTGTGGTAGTGCTAAGAGACCTATCAAAAAAATATAAGAAATGGGTTCTATCCACCACAAATTAGAGTTTTGTCAAGGGAAAAAGACACACACAATGAAAATATTTTTAAAATAATATAATAATCATCAAAATAAATACTATGTAACTTCAAAGTTGGGAATAAAGATAAGGAGAGAACAAAGATACTCAATTGGTCAAGGCCTTAGGGGCAGAGTGAGATTTGAACAAGTGGGAGGTGGGTAGGTTTTGCATGGGCAAAATAATCATGAAGTATTATGAACAAGAATAGCATCCAGGCATTTGGATTTGACTCTGTCCATGACATTTAAACCTATGCAGTTGGGGAGCCACTTTATGGTTGAAATTGAGACACATATAGCTGGGGATAAGTCTGAATAAAGAATTAATCAGTTAATACTTTCTGAATATCTATTGTGTTACATTCACTTTACACTTTACAATAACAAGTATTATTATCCTCAGTTTATAGATTAATTTACTAAGATTCATGTTAATCATGTAGCTTCAAAATTGCTTTTTATGATGCTTCAAGGGTGCCTCTTAGCTGCATTACTACTATGTTTTCAAAGGCTTAGAAATAACAATTAAGCAGATTCCTGAGTTACTGAATGACACATAACCAGAACTGAGACAGGAAGTTTTAATTCTAAGATTAGCCCACAGGGACACAATGTCTCTAAAATGTTAATCACATGTTTGGCATTAATATCATTTGTCATGGTACCCTCCTGTCTTCTTTTAACATGCTTTTCCATATCATTAAATTTATGCCCTATTAATTGAATTCTTGCTTTCATAATATGTTGACTTTTTTCAGTGTCAAAAACATATACTGATTTTTCAACCTGATATTATAAAATCAAAACTATCATAAAAATATAAAGATGTCCACATCAGTTAATATTCAGGTAAAGGTTTGAAATGGGAGAAAACTCTTGGAACATGGCTCTTTCTTTTTCTCAATCTTTCCACCAATCATTATCTGTGAAATTCTGCCCAATTTCTTAAATATGTATTCAAAATCCTATCCAACAAGCCAATTTAATATTCAGAGGCATAGATTATAATAATAAACCTAATCATCGTGAGTATTACTGACAAGAAAAATCATTAAAATGAAAACAAAAACAAGATAAAAATGAAGAGATAATCCAAATCAAAATATAAAATTCTCCTTCTCAGGTGGGAAGAGATACATAAACTCAGGGAAACGGGAATTGCAATAAAAAGTCCAACTTCGTTCTTTCATTATCTGTTAGAATAGAGAGAGAAAGATGCAATAAGCATGAATAGGGATAACTTTTTTTAATTTTGTGTATGATGTGAGGAGTAAGATATCAGTGAGAAATTTGTTTGCCTTAAACGGTCAAAACATTCTTGTTTGAAGTAATTACATGTGTTTTATAAATAAAAGCAATTGTAGGCACATCAAATGGTCAAATAATCTTGCCATAAAAACAAGCCCCAATTTGTCCATAACTATAGCCTAAAAAGAAATAAGTAAAAGTACAAGTTGAAATAGCACGGAAATACAATTTTTCTCCTATCAAACCAGCAAAGTATTCTGATTATTTTTTTTTAAGATAATATACAGGGCTGGTTAGGGTGAAGCAAATTTCATCACCCATAGCTGATGAAATTTTAAGTCTCTATAATTATTTGGGAAAGCAATCTGACTACATGCATCTTTAAAGAACATTAAAAATTATATATTATGTATTCATTAAAATTTTCTTACAGTAAAAAAATTACAAATATTAAAAAAAACCTTCCGCATTTCAGTCCTTGGGTAATGATACAGTACCATTCATTGTGGTGCCACATTCGACCACAGATCATGATAAAGTAAACTATAGTGTTACTTTTGGTGGACTATTCTATAAATATTAAAATAACTTTAAAAAGAATTTGAAAATAGTCTTGAAATGCTTATTTATGTTAAAAGGAATGAAAAAAATTTCAAAAATGCAATTATAATAATACCATAAGTATATAAAACAAAATTTTTAAAAGTACAAAGGAAAAAGGACAGAAAAAAGTATATCAAAACAATGATGAGTTTTTCCTGAGTAGTGAAACTTAGGGTAGGTAAGCTGATTTTCCTTCTAATTTTCTTCATTTCCCAAAGTTTCTAGAGAGAACATGACTTATCTTTTTTATAATGGGGAAAAAGTATAATGAGATTTACTTTAAAAATTTAAAATGTAATTAGAGCGAACCTACCAAAAAAGAGATGGGAACAAAGTATCTTCCTTTCTCCCCTTCATTTGTTTACCTGGGGAATCTGTATTTATAGCAAAATAGTGCAAGTATGTATTAGATATTAGGGGAAGGATGTAGGATTCTAAAGGAGAGCTGAGTAAAAATTGTATTGGCTTCATGATTTTTGAGCTGTTTTCCAAAGTCAACCAGGCTATTTTATTCTATAGACATAGTTGTACCCTATATCTCTGTTGAAAAACACACCCAAGTCTTCCCCTAAAAAACAGAGTGTCTCTCAGCTACTTCAACCAGGGGAGGAAAACTAGCCAAAGAAATTGAACTGCTTGAATGTCCACATCCATAATAACAACTTGTACCCAACATTACCCAGAGAATAAAATAAAATGAGCAGGTTGACTTTCCATTAAAATGAAGAATTCGATTTATTTGCTAAGTCAAGTGTGCTATCTTTGAAAAAACAATCAAACCTTTTCACATTCTTTCTTAAAAAAAAAAAAAGATTGCACGATGCAGTAATACTCAGCAGACGTTTCACTCAATTAACCCTACAGTCACTAACTGAAATATCAAAAAGAACTGTTTGAAGGAGATTGAAATTTGATACAGCCAATCACACATCACATTCAACATTATGTTCTGCTTTCTAGAATGTTCATCCATGGAAGTACATGTTTTATACAAAATAAATCTAATCAAAAGCACAACCAAGAGTGTGCTAGCCATGTGGTGAACACACTGGATTTTGATGTCCACCTAAAACCGGAGTAGTTTAGCTTTAAAATACTCCTGGAGATGGTCGTTGCCATGAAAAATCAGTGACATGCAGACTCTTTGACGGCAAGAGAGTCGATCAGTCACAAGACCAGACTGGAGCCAGTTTCAAAAAGCTCTTAGTTGGAGGAGATTTAAGAAGTAGAGTTTTAAAAACAACAGCTCCTGTAAGGAATCCAACATTCCTTAATCAGATGTGTATGCTTAATTTGCATTTTAATTCTTAGAGATATTCTGCCTTTGTAGCATGAGCTCAGTTGAGAACAGAGAGGTGGGGGAGGCTATGCTGTAAATCCAGGCAGCTACTGAATCTCACCTTTCCAAATGGTCGCTCCACGTCAAGGTTGAGGAACACTGGTGGGGTAAGGAGGTGGAGCTGGATGCATAGTTGTTTGTATGGGACCTGATCTGTGAACAGACAGAGGGTTTCAGTGGACAGAATTATTGATTATGATTCCTTTTGTCAGATGACACTTCCTTTAACATTTTGAAAGAAAAGAAAACCTAAACCCACACATTAACTCATCATAGCTGTGATAGAGCAAATAAAGATGTTTAGGTATTATCTTTCCAAGACTATCTCATTCCTACCTTCATGCTTAGACTCACACTCATTTTCTCCTACACTGCTACAACAAATATTACATGAGAGCAGAGACCATGTCCGATATGACTTCTAAGTCCCCAGAGAAGTTATCGCAGCACTTGTTAAATGTTGAATAAAAACTCATTGACCTCAAATGATTGGTGAAGGCAAATCTAATTCAATCACTCTCCAGCCCATTGCTCTAGGATAAAGACCAGAATTCTTAACATGACATCAAAGGCCCTGTTTAATCTGGCCTCAGGCTGCAATTCCAGCTTCGTTTCGAATCTTTTGCTCTTTTGCTCTTATGTGCTTAGACTGTGTTAGCCACCTTTGAACATTATGAACAGTACCATCCTCCTTTCTACCTCAGGGCCTTTGCACTTGCAGTTTCTGCTGCCTGGAGTACTCTTCCATTCCTTCATCACCTGGCTAACTTCTGTTCATCTTACAGGTCTCAACTTGGAAAATCACTTCCTCATGGAACATCCCATTGACTAGGATTGGCTCTCCACTCTATGACATTCACTATTTTTCTTTTCAGGAACTCGTGTAGTTTGAAATTAATAGTTATTTATATGATCAGTTATTGAATACTCGTCATTGTATCTAAGCTATAAGCTTCGGGAGAGAAGGAACCATGCCTGGCACATAAGTCATGGTCAATAAGGACTTGTATTTTCAATGGATGATGCTGCATAACTGGTCCTGAGGCCCATCCCTCAGCAGCATTTTCTAAATTATAGCCTAAATTCATTGAATGTCATAGCTGAAAAAAATATTTATTTTTTATATATTTCTCAGTAGTTCTCTTATAAGAAAAAGCAGAATGAAATGAAATTTTATAAGAAATTGTTATAAGAAAAGCAGAAAGAAATAAAAGTCAATGTTTCCTCAGTCTTTTTTATTGGCTTCCTGGAGTCCTTTTTTCCCTCAAAAATGTAATTAAGATTATCTTAAACAGCATGGCCCTCCTAAGTGGCATGGCATTACACAAGTCGTCCAGACAGACCTGTAGTTTTCCATTTCTTGACAGTGTTAAGCAGATGAATGTCTGTTTTAGAAAGGCAGTGCTGCTTGAAGGATCATAAAATAATGTTTTCTTTGTGGTAAAAATTACACTTTGGCCAATATCTATTTCAGACCAAAGAGAAAAAGTTTAGTGACACTTTTCCACAGAAATATTAATGGCTCTAGAAGAGTGGTCAGACTTAGGAAGAAAGAAAAACAAGTTTTCTTATTTATTCTGTGAGGCTTTCAGAGCCCCTCTGTACTCCTGTGTGAGAAGATTCTCCATATGCTAAAGACTGGTCAGGATAAGTTCCTGCCTTAGCTGACCACTAGATTTCTCTTCCTGACACTAGGCTACTTGGTTCTTGTTTAGACTGCTTTAACCAAGTAAATGCTCTTGAGCTTGCTTTATATCTAAGTTAAACTTTAGCAGCAGATGGAATTTGAATATTATATGCCTGCCCAGTGTTGAACACCCGGGGGTGAGGCCGGGAAGAACTAAAGCTGTGACGCAAGGTAATTTGTGAAAAGCCAGGAGTCCTGAAGCATGGCATGCTTCCTTGCCGCACTGTCTGTGGAGCGCAGAGGATTCTGAGGGCTGTAAAACTATTCTGTAGGATTCCATAATGGTAAAGACGAGTCATTATACATTTTTCCTATCCCATAGAATGTGCAACACCAAGAGTGAACCCTAATGTACACTACGGACTTTGGATGATAATGATGTGTCAATGTGGCTCATCAACTGTAACAAACATCTGGTGGGGAATGTTGATACAGGGGGAGGCTATGCATGTGTAGGGGCAGGGAGTATATGGGAAATCTCCCTACCTTCTGCTCAATTCTTCTGTGGACTACTCTAAAAAATAAATTCTATTTTTTAAAAATAGTTGTCTGTTGGAAATTATATATGATTTAACCTAATAATAGCCTTCATACTACTGTTTCTGACCTGAGTTTCCCTCTCCCTAATACATCCTTCATACTGTTTCCAAGGAATACCTCAGCAAACCATAAATATCTCTGAAAGTTTCCCATTGCTAAAGAATAAAGCCTACCATGTGTCAAGTGATGCCAAACGCCTTTGCATTTAATTCCATCTGATGCTTAACCCCTTTAATACACTGACTTTCATTCACACCAAGTATGGCCCTTCCTGAGGGTGTAGGATGGCCAGGTACTCACTGGCCTCTCTTAGACACCTCAGCTCTTGCCACCATGAAGATTTTTCTTCATGTTTCCCAAGGTCTTCCTGCCTCAAATACATCCTTTTCCTCTTGTTTAAGCTAAGCTCCCAGCTCTGCTGTGTTCTTCCCAAATTGCCAAATACACATGATATCCGATCCGCTAGCAAAGCTTGTCTTCTCTCTAGATATGAGAAGCTCAGAGTTTTAATAAAAAGTGATTTTATTTGCTAAGCCATATTTTAGGATTTTTAAAAAATTCAGTTAATATAGTGCCAACTACGTCTGCGTGTGGGGGAGTGGTCTTGCAATTTGAATTTGACTCTTGAGCCAAATGATTTCCTGTGGCAATTTTGATAATGTGTGAGTGGTCACTCCACAGACCCCTGAATACAGCCCATTTGTTTGGCCTTCTGCCACGGCTTGAGTGTGGAGCCTGTGGCTGTTTCTGTTTTGGCTGAGGATGCCTGATGCCTGTTTGCGGAGCCACACTGCCGCTGTGTGCTGAACACTGTGCTAGCCTGTCCGCGAGGTTCCTTCCAGAATGACTCAGCTACACTCCAGGGCTGTAGCTACTTCGCATCATGTCATTAAGAGTTCCTCTGCTCGCCCCCAGCAGCTCACTAACTTATCCCCATCCACCACCCGATCCTGAACAACCAAGGACTATCACCGTCTGTGCCTTCAGAATTTCAATGCCAGATGTGTAACATATTATCAAGGCTAGCTGGATTTTGAAGGAACAAAGAGAAAACCACCCTAGAATCCCCTCCCATCACCTCTAGTTACCCACATCCTTGTTACAGATCGTCCTGCTTCCTCAACTGCCCCTCCCTCTTGTATCTTCCAGTCCAGTGGCTCCTTTCCATCCACTTGCAAATATGCGTAGGCCTCCCGTATCTTAGGAAACAAAATACACAAAAACACCTGTGCTTGACCACTTGACTCTACCACTTCCTGGAAGTACAGTCCCATCTCTCGCTTCCCTTTACCACTAGCTTCTCTAAGTGATATATAGTCCCTGCTTCTCCTATTTCCTCTCCCTTCTACACAAGTGAACAGAACTATAAAGTACTTCCTTATAAAGTATTAATTCATTTAATTTTTTAGAGTTGGCACTATTATCATCTCCCCTTGACATATGAGAAAACTGAGGCAGGGATAGGTTAAGTAACTTGCCCACGCTCACCCGCAGGTAAATGGGTAGAGTTTGGAATCAGTTGCAGGCAGTCTGATTGCAGACCACACGTGCTAATCACACTCTACTGCCTCACTTCCTCCAACCCCCTACAATTGGTTTTCACACCTATGCTAATAAAACTAGTCTCTTGGGAACTTTAGGTTTTTGCTTTCAACTGTGGTATTGCAGTATTCAGGCTAGCTATACAGGTACTGCACATTAAGCTCTAATGTTTATAAACTTGTCTCTCTTTTTTTATACAAGCATAATAAAACTTCATTAATCTGGAATGAACAATCATTCTGATGATGGCTAAACTAAATTTTATATTTTCATGATATATAAAAAGGGGTTAATTGGTTGAATTAATAAATAAAACATATAAGGTAGTGGGGGCAGAATGTGACCTACTCACAGGGGAAATATATGGATAACTTTAGAATGTTAAAATTAAAATCCAGTCTTCTGATATCAAAGGAGTCTTTCCTGATACAGACCATAATATGTATTACACATTTCTTGCTGCCTGTCTTGAAGGAATGGGTACTATAGTAGGAAAACAATTGAAATAACAAGAAATAATAGAAAATGGCACATAATCACACGCCAGAGTATAGCATGGTGATGTTTGCCATCATCTAATTTGCTAGAATTTGCAGGGCATATCCTGAGCGCTGGCAAGTTCTTCTTAGGCACCATGCCAGCTACCATCAAGAGGGTGGTGATCCCTGTGGGAGTAAACAAAACTGCACATTTTAAATCCAAAAGGAGCATTGGAGATCATGTAATCCAACTCTGTCGTTTACAGAGGAGGATATGAGGCCAAGTTTTCTTTTCTATAGTCACAAAGCTAGTTTGCAGCAAAGTCTTATCTGGAACCCAGCTTCCTATTTCTCCTCCATCACTAGGCCCAGTAATAGATTTGCAGATTTAATCCACCACAAACACCCCAGAGCATATGTTATTTGGCAAATGCTTGTTTCATTAAAAAAAAAAAAGAAAAAGAAAGAAAGAAAAAGAAAGATGTGAATAACTGAGCAGAGTGAAAAACTGTAACATGTGACCTGGCCATTTATGCTACTCGATGAGCTCCACACAGGGAGAGATTTTTGTTTGTTGATAGACTCTCAGAGACTAGATCAAAGTCTGCCACAGTACAACTTCATTACTATGTGGTGTTTGAATGAATGATTTCTAAGTATTTTATATGCAGTGTCTGTGAGTAGATATTATTTCCATTTCATAGGTGAAAAAAAAGTTACAGCTCAGTAAAGTTAAGTAACTTGCTCAAATCTAGACCTAAAACCAGGACTAGAAACCAGGCCTTTGGTGCCCACCTAATTCATTATTTAACTTTAAGAAGATCACTTTCTAGAGTAAAAAGTGAATTAGTTAATTATTATATATAGAGGATGAAGATAGATATTCTAAGGAATAAATAAAATTC